GACAGGACAAGGGGCAACGGGCACAAACTGAAGCCTGGGAAGCTCCAGCTGAACCCGAGGAAGAACTTCTTCCCTCTGAGGGTGACGGAGCCCTGGCCCAGGCTGCCCAGGGAGGCTGTGGAGTCTCCTTCTCTGGAGATATTCCAGCCCCGCCTGGCCGCGGTGCTGTGCAGCCTGCTCTGGGTGACCCTGCTTGGGCGGGGGGGTGGGCTGGGTGACCCACAGAGGGCCCTGCCAACCCCGAACATTCTGTGATTCCCCTGCATGTTTTTAGGCTGTTTTAAATGAGTTGAAACTACTGGTCTGACTTAATCAAGACAACAGGCAGCTTAGTGAACAGCAGAAACAAAAGAGATCGGTAAATGCTGGAACACCTTTGTGAAGCAGGCTGTGATGGGCAATCAGCTGAGAACTTTTAGAGGATACGTTTTGTGAAACGCAAATTTGTATCAACCAGCAGGATCATATACTTTGTGACAACGTAGATACTGAGGCTTTTGGGAAGGTATCCTCTGCCTTAGCTGGGTTTTTTTAGGGAAGAGTTTTGACCGTCTCAGGGGGCCAGAAGCCTTGAAAAAGTTGGCTGGCTTCCAGTTTGGAAGGTACTATTTTGGCATGTTTGATTTGGAGTTGCAAAAAATATGAACATTTCCTCTGCTTTTTTCCTGCAGCTTCTGAGACATTTAAATGCTCTTCTGCTCAGGACAGCATTGTATAGTAGTAGATAATTGCACAATAATCAATAGCCTGTTTTTGAAATCCAGTTACTTGGCTTTTTAAGCCTTTCTGATAATAAACAGTCATTCTTGCTTGCATTTATTGTAAGGTTGGTGGTTTTATATCCCTTGACACCCTGGCTTCGAATCTGCAAGAACATAAAAACTTTTTTCTAGCCCTTTTTGACCTGATTTCTAGACCTGCATTGTGTACAGTGTACCAAGTCATGGCTAAGAGCACATCAGTCACCGGAGTATGTGTCATGTAACAGTAAGTGGACACCTTTAATGGCACAAGATTGGATATGCTTTCTCATTTTTCTGTTGGGTATTTGTTTTCAGTCCGCTGAGCCTGTGCACCCTTACCCTGAGTCCTTGTGACTCGGTATTTCCGCCAGTGTGACAGTTGGCTTGCCATGTTCAAGACCTGATTTCATCCCAGAATGTTGTCTCTTGAATTAGACTGAAGTCTGAGATAAGATGAGTTATCTTATGGCCAGGAGAAATTCAAGGAGTCAGCCAAACTATGTCTCAAATTAACTTTTTTTTTCCAAGTTCTTGTATCTGTTACATTGGTGGGGGGAATCCACTCTTCTAAAATATTATCCAGAATGTGCGTGTCTCCCCTGAAGTCCCCCTTTCTTTTATTTCTTTTTTTTCCTCCTAAGGGTGTGCTGATCACTCAGGAGGAAATTGCTGTAGTTTTTCATAACAGTTCATGGAAAGCTACGTGATCCTTTGACTAGATATCCCATTAGTGGCCACTCCCTGCGCTGGGGGACTGGACGCGCTCAAACATTCTTGCTCCTCTAGAAATCCGTTGCTTATCAGGTCCTTGCTGGATTACCAGCTTTGAAATGACGAGTTTGTGGTCGTTGGGGAACCTGTGAGCCTGCAGTTCCAGTGACCTGTAGGAAGGCCATTGTAAGTAGCTATGTGAGAAGTTACTGTCTGTACTTTCGAGCAACTTTTTCAAAAGGTTTGTATCCTGGTGTTTGTTTCGTTGCTGATGTGATTGCTTTTTTCTGACAGTCGATCAGATTTAAGTGTGCATGAGAGTTACCCAATAACCACCTTGAAAACCTGCATCCTCAACTGGTGGCCTCTTCCCACTTTCTAAGCACAATATTTGTTTGACATGACAGTTATTACTTTTCTATTGTTTATTATTAAGAGCGATGCTTGCAGTTGTAGCTCTGGTACACATTTAAAGATGTCTTAGTGTCCCATACATGAAATAGGGTGTTCAGGTAACAGTTGGTTTGGGTGACTTGGTTTTTACATTAAATAAATCCACTGTTTTATATGAGGGGGGAGTGAGAGGAGCCAGTGTTTTGCTGCATTGCTGTTGCAAAACCTTCTAGTCTTTTGCTTTATCTTTTTGAGAAACCAAATTCAGCCCTGTTTGTGGCTGACATTTCACACACAGTCCAGAACGCTACTTTTGAACCCTCTGTGGAAAGAAATAGGCTAAGCAAGAGCAGTCCTTGAGCTGTGATGCTTTCACAAGTTGATGCTTGTGATCCTACCCTGGAAGAATATCGGTGCTTTGAAGTCAATAGGAGATTATCCTCCTGCCCCTTTGATTCTCTTGGCCTTCTGAGCAGGAGATGGGAATGCAGAGGGAATCGACAAGCTCCTGTTTGGGTCACTCTGAATTTCTGCTGGACGATGGCTTCTTTTCATGTAATATAGGCACCAAAGATGTGAATTGTGCTAAGGTTCACACCTGAGAGCAAGAAGACTCGAGTACTTTATACGGTAATCTAAGCAAAGGAGTGTTTTACAACCTGGGGAATTTGAAGTCAAAGTTGGGAGTACTACACTTTCATGCATGTGACGTGCAGGTCACACAGCTGAAAAACAAATAAAACCCAGGACCAGGTCAGCCACAGTGTGTGCTTGTATGTGTGTGTTAGTAATCCCAGGGAAAGCATCTTTTGTAGCCCCCAGCCGACTTCCCTGAGGAAGGATCTGTAATTGGGTATTTTAGGACTCACTTCAAAATGCTGGCATTTTTTTAGGGGGCTTCAGGCTATGCTTGCTAGAAAAAAGCATTTGATGCTGAGCTGAAGCCTGATGGATTTTTTAAATTTTTCCTCTTACTTTCCACACTTGAGAGAGGAAGGTCCCATAAAATAGGCCCCCCCCCAAAAAAAACAAACAAACAAACAAACAAAAACCAAAAAACCCCCCCCCAAAAACAGTGCTGGGCTGTGGTTCGTATGTTCTAATTGGTCATTAGTATTTTTTTCCCATCCTGAAATTTCATAAGAAAGCTTCATTCATCTCATTTATTTTGGTTTTGGCATGTAGTGTGTTTTGATTTTTCTGTTTTGTCTCAGAAGAAAACATCCGGCACTGTTACACTCATTTGCTTTTACTGGTGCAGAGACAGGACTGGTGCGCTGTCGTTTTTCGGAATGACTGTTCGGTGTCAAAGGAGAAGTCGTAGATGTTGCAGAAGTGGGTAGACTGCTTTTCACTGTCAGGAACGCTGCGTTTTGAAGGTGGCCAGCCAGAAGAATGTCTCTTAGAGCATCTCCCATAGAAACGCTGCCCAGTGATGTGTCTAGTTCTCCTGAAATTCAGGTCTCTTGGTTGTGCTGCAGGTGTGCACACCTGATGTGACATTGCACCCACCTGCAGCGGCAGTGGAATTAGTTTATTAATTTACTAGTTTATTATGTGAGGAGGAGGTACAGTGATGTGGCCTCTTGCATCACCAGTCCATGTGAACTATCATATCTTAACACATGTTACCCTCGGCTCTTCTTTCACTGCTCCTGGTTTCTGAATGGAAACTACTTCCACAGCTTGGAGGTTTAATAAAAGTGTTCAGTGCAGACGAGCTGGGGTTTGGTTTGCCTGGGAAAATAACTGAGGTGGAGAGAATCCCTCCGATCGATTAGGAGTCTCCACTGCTGAGTAATAGGAGGGCTGTATTTTTGGCAAGAATGTGGAGTAATGGAGGTGGTATAGATGGGGTACGGAACATCCACCCCTGCAATGGCGAATGCAGTGCAAAGTGCTGAAACTGTGGTGAAAGTCATCTTGAGAACAGTGCCAGGAGTGACGTAAGCTCTCCGTTCAAGAGGAAGGCGCTCGGATAGGAATTCCAATAGGAATACCTATTGGAAGTGAAAATTCATGGTAAGTGTCTGCTGCCTTGTCTGAGTAAAAGAAAGCATCCAGAATAGGTAGAAATCGGGAGCTGTTCTTTGGATTTCTTTGTAAGGAAGGGAAGAGGGCAGTCTGGAGCTTGACCTGATGGAACAGGAGAGGCCTGGTGGATTGCTGGAGGTGAGGGTTGGCTTTTGAGGCTTTTAAAGGGACGAAAGTAAGCGAAGGAGGAAGTAAACCCTGCGCTTTGCGATGGGAATAGTGGAGCACCTCTTCTTAGGAGAGGCTGATGCAGGCGGATGGGCAACAGGTAGGAGAGGCTTGTAGAAGTGTAATGATAGTGAGGGGTGAGACCTGATGAGGCTTAAACTAAGCTTAACCCCTTCAGTACTGTGCATGTGTTGGGAGGAGAGTTTTGTAAAGCTGTAATTCTTTTGTAGAAGGTATGGAGACCACTGTTTTGGTGGCTATTTTCTTGCTCAGGAACTCGTTAATGTCTACAAATTGCATCGGGTGTAGTCTGGGAGGGCTATGATTCCGGTCCCAGTGTCTCTATTTTCTGTCTAACAGATTTAATGGTTGAATTCCTTAGGCTGACAGAAGCTGGATCAGTGTGTCAGCTCCTGCTTTTACCCAGAGTGAATGACTTACTAGTTTCCTCAATGCCTGGTGTTAGGCACAGTGCAATGTCTGCTTTTTGTTAACGCTTTCTGTTAATTTAAAGAGCCTCTTTATTCTTTCAGATATGTTTTAATGGAGGAGGCTGCAGGTCTGGCTTACACATTTACCATTTCTGCTACATCCATAGCACTCAAGTTTGCATACATGTTTTAGCATCTTTGTTGAATGCAAGTGTTGATTGTCAGTTATGTTAGTCATAAGCTGTAAGTCATTTATCCTTCTTTTCTTTTTAATCTTTAGTTTGTTAGCTACATGGACGTAGATGTTTTTGTTTTGTTAATTTTCACACCACATCTTTTCTGTACTTTAGGTTGACTCCTCACTGCACTGTGAAAACCATTAGGAAAAAGTCCTTGGGGTTAAAACCTGGGGCTCCACAGTCTTACCTGCACTTGGGGCTAGAAATTATTTTAAATGGCGACTGATCTGTCTGAAGCTGAACCCGTGCATCATAAGGCGCTTCCACTCTTAACGGGAGCTCAGCTGATCCACACGGACAAGTTAAGTGAGGTAGGGGCTGGCCCATTCTGTACTCGGTACTCTTTCTCCCCTGCCCGTCAGATACTTGATTGGGAGTCGAATAAACCCTGTAGGCACTCTCTTTCCCCTTCCCTGCTTTCCCTGAAATGCTGTATTTATCAGAATCCTCAAATGCTGATCTCATTTGATTTGGAATTGAAAAGAAATTATTTCTTTTATAACTGTAAAATGTGAAACTGTCCTCTCCTGGTACGCTTCAAAGGAGCTGGTTTGAGGGTTACTGTCTTTTAAATCTCTGAAAAACCCAAATGTAGCCAGAATATTTCTATCTATGCTGCTTTGATTTCCTTTAATCCCATTTCAAAAACTTGCTAGTTTTTTTCCAGTATCTGTACTGATTTATGTATACTTGTTCTAGAAAGTTGAAGACGACACTATGCCGATCCGTCGCTCGGTGAATTCTTCTTCCCGGGAAACTCCTCCCAAAAGCAAACCTGCTGAAGGCGGTGAAGAGGTCAAAGCTGGTACGGTAATAGTTCTATAGTGGATTGTTAATGTATATCCAAACATAGGCGTGTGTTCTGAAACTCCTGAAAAAACCTCACTGCTGTGATTAAAATATTACTAATGCTTAGATTCTTTTCATGGGCTTGTCTTGGATAATTGCAGAGTTGTATTTTGCAGCCACTCTTTTCGGTCTGAACCCGTTTGTTTTGTCCTTCATATCCCCTGGGAAAGCCCTGACACTCCAGACATTAAAATACAGCTAAATGTAGTCCCTTCTAAGCTTGCCCTTTCTTTAGAGTAAAGGTACAAATTGTGAGGTTTCAGTAGTGTCAGGAATATGGATTGAGATGGAAAAGTAGATTTAATGAGTGGAAAACCAAAGTATTTAAGATTTTTGCTTTGTTTTCCTGAGCAAAAGGATTTTACCACAATGTGTCATAAAATCTAGTCTGATATTAATGTGTCTGGTCTTAGCAGCTTCACCTCAGTTTCTCAGAATGTGTCATTTCAGTATCATATTTGGTTAGTTTCACTGGGGTGTCACAAAGAAATAAATTACATACCAAACTAACTATTAATACACTGCATATTTCAAATGCATGATGCCTCCTTGGGAAAACTGTGCACAGGAGCACAGCAGGAGTGCTTGAGCTCCTTCTCAGAGACAGAGGACCTGTCTACTGCCTGGAGCAGTCATGGCAGTTAGCTCTTTTATCCAAGAAGTGGCTAATGGCAGTTTACATGCATCTTATCTGGTAGACAGCCCCATCTCTAGAGCCTGTTCCCAGCTAAATATACTGGAGTTAATTTGCTTGGTAAGTTGATTTCTGACTGGATTTGATCCTGCTGATAGATAAGTGTTTCTGCCAATGCATGTGCAATCTAAAGCTTTGCCAAGTCTGGAAAAATGTGATTGAATCGTTGAAATCCTTCAGGTGCCGCGGTGTGTAGTGCAGAAACAGCGACGTTTGAAGACAAGATGGTGGTAAACAAAGCTGCTCGTATGTATCTACCCAAGTTTCTTGTAGAGTTGTATGGTTTTGCACCTTTCTGAGTTAAAAACACATAAACTTCAACCTAGGGGAAAATTTTAGTGTTCCATAGTACTGATGTCCTCCTCCCTTTCCCACCCAGGCCTCTTTGATGAGGGGTAATTATAACAGTAACTTCCTGGAGTTAAGAGAAGACTGGAGGAGTTAGTTCATTGTGAAAATGCTGTGTGATGTTTTTTGAAGTTGCTCTGGCGTTTGATCGCTCATTGCACCTTACTGAAGTCTTTTCAGTAGTTTTGTTTGCTTCCTAAGTTACATTCCACTCTTCTCTTTAAATTAGAGAAGAGAAATGGTCTGGTGGGAAATAATTTTGGGGGGGTGTTGTACAGCTTTTTTTTTTTTTCTCTCCCCTCTGCCTTCCTGAAGAACAGAGGCTAGTTTTAGGCAGTAACTTGATGCATTTTCCCATCTTTAGATGCAGAAGTCGCCTCTGAGGAATCTGCCTCTGCTGGAGAAGAACAAGAGAGTGAAACCCTGCCTGCTGCATCCAGTGAAGCAGAACAGCCAAAGGAACCTGAGAATGAAGGGAAGGGGGAAGCAAAGTCCTCAGAAGAAACCAAAAAGGAGTAAGACGTGCTTAGTGCTGAGTTCAGGAATTTGGGTAGGATTCTGGAGAAAGTCAGGTTCCTAGAGATAGAAAAGATGATGGGACAGATGGGGAAAATGGGATGGCTTTCTTAAAAAAAGGTGCTCATATTTGTCAGGAAGAAGCCACCAACCAAGTGTAGCTGCTGTCCTGGAACATGTGAGGCTTGAGTGTCAAGACAGGGTCTCTTCTTTTTCTAACAGAAACGTCAAAATGTTTATTAAAATATTTTAAGTGTCAGATATTCTGGGCTTTGTTGTTGTTGTTCTGCCTGTTGACTTGTTTTACAGTGTCTCTTGTCTTACTATTGCTTTGTATTTTTCCTAAGCGAGAAAGACCAGTCTAAGGAAAAGGAGAAGAAGGTGAGAAAGACCATTCCTGCGTGGGCTACTCTTTCTGCTAGCCAGCTAGCTAGAGCACAGAAGCAAACTCAGATGGCTGCCACCTCACGTCCCAAAATGGATGCTATTTTAACTGAGGCCATCAGGGTAAGCAGGAGACAAATGGTTCTTTTGTTCATCTGTCACAAAGCAGAATGATTTGTGTGCCTAAAATCCACAATTTCAGCTTGCTGATGGTACAGACGATAGCACTGTCTGTTAGCAGAAAACTCGCTGTGTAAGACGTGTTTGCTTCTGCCTGGAAGCCCATGGAGCTGAAATGTGAGTCTATTATGATGATGAGGGGCCCTGTAGTTTATTTCTTTGTTTAGAATTTGTTTCCCTCCCTAATTACATTATTAGAAACAGCTATGATGACATAATGTGGTTGGTTGCTGTCATCATTTAATTTGGTGTGCCTTCTAGCCATATTTAACTGATTTGGCTTGATTAATCCATCTATTTGATACATGCTTTTTTCAGTGTTAACTTACTCTAATTGAGGACAGATGGAAATACAGTAAACTGGCATTCCAAAGTGGTGTTGGTCTTGGGTTTACTGTATCCCTCCTGGTTGTAAGAAGAGACCCGTGCTGTTGTGATGGCACTGCGGCGCTGCTGCCCTCCCCTTGGGGCTTGGTTCACTCACGCTGCCTTCACAGGAGGCCTGGACTCCACCAGCCTTGACTGCAAGATGGCCTTTCCAGCTGCTATATCTTCAAAATACAAACTTTAACTTGGGTTTTTTACTAGTTTGCTAATGTCAGTCCTCCATCACCTTAAAAAAAAAAAAAGATAATAATTGGCAACTTGTTATGACTTAAATTACTCTTTCTGACATTAGTAAAATGACCTACCAGTTGTGCCATGTTGGTTTGCCAAAAGGTGACTGTATTTTGCAGTAGCATGTAGTGTTTATGCCATTACTTGTAAGTGCTTCAGAATCGGGGAGTAGCTGGCGTGCACTTGCCGTGCCGCTTTTGTGTTGTCTGCTCTTCAGCCATTCTGAAGGGGGAGAGTTAAGTGGTTTGTTAGTCATATTTTCTCCTCTTGAGTTATTGCAGGGAGAAGGCCAGCCCGGCACCCTGTACCAATTTGCTGGCCTGTCTGCATCGGTTCAATCTCTGTTCTTCCAGGCCCACAGCAAGATAATTGCAGTGCAGGTGGTTTCTACTAACTTTTCGCTTCTGTTTCAGGCGTGCTTTCAAAAGAGTGGCGCATCGGTCGTTGCAATACGTAAATACATCATCCACAAATACCCTTCGCTGGAGCTTGAGAGGAGAGGCTATCTTCTGAAGCAGGCATTGAAAAGGGAGCTGGAGAGAGGCATCATTAGACAGGTAAGAGCTGCTTTGTGGAGCAGCGCTGGGGGTGGTATTACTCAAATACACAAGAGTTTCTTAAACTCCGTTAGCAGGTCTGTGGGGTGGTCATGTTCTCCCTCATGGAGGTTAATCAACCTCTGTCTCCACTTTGTGAGACACTGGCAGAATTTCAGCATTGTTCTGTCCATCGGGTACTTTGCACGGTTGTCTTTTGTGCAATTCATGACCGTTTCTTGGTGTTGTGTCATATACTGTTGCAGCAGCGTGTGTCTTAAGGCCGAGTCCGGCAGTGTCACTTCTGCAGAAGCTTGTTTCTTGTAACGCTGTCACTTATGCCTGTGATATCTGTTAGGATCTCTGGTCAGGACAGCAGAGTGTGTTATTAATGTCTGGCTCTGGTTTCTGGTCTGACTGAAGTTTCAGTGGGTTCAAATCGGGCCTCTGCCATAACAGCCCATCGTCAGAGTGACAGTGCATTGCAAGTCTGCATACTGATATCAATTAGTCTCTTTCAGGTTGTTATTATTCTGAGTTACTTTGTTAAAGACTGAAATGGACTTTCTTTTGAACTAGGTGAAAGGAAAGGGAGCTTCTGGGAGCTTTGTGGTGGTGTCTAATGCAGGAAAAACTGTTCCGAAAGCCAGAGACAGAAAGGTGAGCTGTATCGCTTTAAACAATACTCTGGAAAATCTTGCACTGAAACACATGTATCTTATGAAATGCAGCCTAGCCTCAACCCAGGCAGTATTCTCCTCCTTGCTATACTTTTCCTCCCCAAGTACAGTAATTAAAAACCTGTTCCACTAAAATCAGAATTGGAAAGCTAGCATGAGAAATTAAAACCAACTAGAGTAATAAAACTCTTAGTTTTCAAATGTTTACATTAAACCCCTAGGCTTTGGTTCAGAGGCAGAAAACTGCATAACCATGAAGCTCCTCTTCTGTCTTTACCTGGTAGCGAGATGCCTCTCAGGTATTGTAAGAGAGCTTTATGCAACTGCTGTTTCTGTTATATCTGCTGCATGGATAAATGGAAGACCTCAGTCTTCAGGACTGTCAGATGAACATTTTTCCATCAGCTGTGAGGGCAGAGGGAGGAAGAAGAAAATGTCCGAAGGCTTCTGGAAGAAAGCTACTAATGTTGGGTATATGTTGTTCTGAGCTACTAAAATGTGATGTGGGTGTTTGGTGGTTGTTTTTTTTTTTTTTTGAGCCTAGTCCTCACGGTTAGTTGTGGTTCCAGCACTGCTGTTCTCCACTCCCTGCTGCGCTGGGCGTATGAAACGCATTTCTAACACTGCAGTTACAAAATGCTTAGCTGGAATTGCCCATCCCCTTACGGCATAGACTGGTGAACCCAGAGAGTATTGTAATCCCTTGGTGCTTATCTCTTGGCTACTGGGGAGACCAAAAGCCCTAAAAGTGAGGGAAATGGTGACACACTTGGTACTAGGGCACTGAAGGAAATGAAGTGCAGTGTAACTTCTTTTTAAACAGAGCTCGCTGGCTCTATGAGAAGTTTGAGCAATGCCCCTGGTAACTGCTAACGCATCACTTTTCTTGTCTGCAGCATGTCGGTGTCTTTGTTCCTAGTTACTTTCTCTGTGTTGCAGCAAAACAAATCACTTCCCTTTGTTTTTGGTAAATTCAGCTAGCAGTCGAGCAGCTGTCCGGGTGAGCGGCACCCTCACCCATTTGACTGTTTGCAAAGCTGCTGTTCAGCATCAAAATCATTAAATTTCAGCACATTTCCCCACTGTCTTTTCTGTATAAAGAACAGGCCGTTTTTTCCCCTCATCATCCCCTCCTCAGTAACAAAGGGATGGGGGAAAATTCAGAGGGAGCATTGGTTTCAATCGAGATTTCATTCTGTCATCTGAAAAAAAATGCACTCCTGTTTAGCTGTTCATTTTTGGGAAGATTCGACCTGTATAAGAAGGTGTTGCCTTTGAGACTTTGATGTTTAATGCCAGCCTTTTCACCTGTCTCATTGAAGGGCAGCAGAGGAAAATGCCTGTAGAAAGAGGAAGGAAATAATTAAAAACACGGATGTTGTTAAATATTGAGCAATTTATATTTGTAAAACTTTCTGAAGACTCCTATGAAAATTATAGCCTAATTTGGTTGATTTTACTTAAGCTGCTAAACTTTTTAAATTGTTAATCAGAAGAGCTGCCTTACAGAACTTGATTTTCCAGATCTGTGGCCAGCGTCAGGAGCACTTCTCCCCACCTATGTGTTGCTGGTTCAGAAACCCCAGAGTTTTAGGCCTCACTGATGCGTAAAAGTATGTGTATTTCAGAAAAGCACTTCAGCTTCAACTGCAGAGCAACAAGTCAAGCTGGAAGATATCCTGCCGCTGGCTTTCACCCGCCTCTGTGAGCCAAAAGAAGCTTCTTACAGCCTGATCAAGAAATATGTGTCTCAGTATTACCCCAAACTCAAAGTAGATATAAGGTAGGTGCAGGAGCACGCTTTTGCAAGCAGAGCTGCGGAGGAGCAGTGAAACGCAGCCTTCCTCTGGCTTTGCCTCGCTTCACGGTGCTTCAGTTCAGTATTTCGACAGGCAGCAGGCAGGTGGTGCTCTGCGTTGTAGAGCCTGTGGGAAAGCTTGAGGAAAAAAAGCTGTGCCTATTTCTGCATCCCTCCCCACCCAGCCTTTGTTCCTGAGATCAGCATTGTTCTACACACCTCTGCCCTTAACCCGAACCAGACCCCTTTAGCCGCGTGGACGTGAAGGCCTCTCCTTGGGCTCTTGGCCTGCTTGGTTCTGGATGCTTCAGCTGGCACGCGCTTACAGTAATCTTGGTTTGCCCGTAAGGAGCAGGCCAAGGCTTGGGGAGGAAGGAAATCTGGGAAAACCCTGTGCATCACCGCTTACAGGGGCTTGTACTCTGTCCCTTGTCTGTCTGCGAGCTAACTGACTTGTTGCCCACTGAGTCCAAATCTGCTTTTCAAAAGGAGTAAATCCTTCCAAGTGAGGCTTGTCTCTTTCTGGATACGCAGTGGCACCGAGCAAGCATCGCAGTTGAATGTCCGCTAATGTACATTGTTCTTCTCACGTCATCAGCACTTGCTGACAGATCTCCATTTAAAATGTCTGTATGTAGGCAGATACCGCTTGTAAGTACTGCTCTGCTCACACTCTGTGTAAAGCATTGTTTCTCTGTTTGTTTTTTAAGCTGTCAGTGTGTGTCAGTAAAGCTTTATCCTCCTGTATTTCAGACCCCAGCTGTTGAAGAATGCCCTGCAGAGAGCTGTAGAGAAAGGCCAGTTAGAGCAGATCACAGGCAAGGGAGCGTCTGGGACATTCCAGGTCAGAGCCAGAGTTCATCTTCTTTTGTTGACTGTACTGACCACAAGCCTTGGATATAAGTTAACATGCCCTCTCCTGGCCTAGTTTTATCGGGTACACCTTTCTTTGGCAGCTTGTCATATTCGGGAGTTGTCAGACTATGAAGCAGTAGGACTCTTATTCTCCTCTTGGTCTACATTTCTGGAGCAGACGCCCCTTGCCTTCCTTGCTTAGCGTGCTCCACCGGCTGCTTCAGCTCTGACTCACTAGCACAGTAGGGGAGATGGTGGGGTAAGCTTTCCTTTCCATCACTAATTGTAAGTGCAGTAGGTACCCCAGATGCCTGCAACGTCTTTTTTTCATGTCCGTGCCGTAGAAGTCTCTTGGGTACATCTGGTCTGTGGGATGGAGGAAGATCTGATTTATTTCCTTCCCTGAGTGATAGGCCCTGAGACTGCCACATCCTTGCAGTGCATTTGGGGACTAGGACAGTGTGTTACCGATAAAAAGCGCTCCGGGCCAGTTGACTGAATAGGCCTGTCCTCCGAATTAAAGCTGGGAGAGCAGCATTCCCTGTGCAGTGTTTTAATATAAAACGTATCTGTGCTAATGCAGGAGCGCCGACCCACCTGGTGCAGAGGAGCTTGTCCTGACCTGGTTTGGGAGAATTTTGTCTTGATGCTTTTCTCTTCCTCCTTGGAAAATAGCTGAAGAAATCAGGGGAGAAGCCCCTGCTGGGTGGGACTCTGATGGAAGACGCTATCCTGTCTGCTATTGCGGCCATGAACGAACCGAAGACCTGCTCCACCACAGCGCTGAAGAAGTATATCCTGGAAAACCACCCAGGGACGAACTCCAACTTACAGGGTAAAGTACTGCTCTGAGTAACTCTTTTACATGCGGAAGGAGAGTCTTACAGCTGCAGATGTGTCTGTGCAGCACCTTCAAACTATTCCGTTGAGCTTGCTGGGGAACTGACAGCTGCTGGGCTTTTTGTGCTGCAGAGATGCTCGGGGATTTTAATCTCCATTAGTTCCTTTCAATCCTGACAAAGGCTAGTTTCTGAGACATAATGCGTGTTTTTCTTGTCTATAGCACGTTCCCAGGAAGAGGGAATAGCATTCGAGTAGTTTATTGTTCTTAAATCACGAAGTTGACTTCAGCTGTCTCGCTCTGTTTTGAAAGGCTACAACTTGGGATAAATGCAGTTCCTAGTTGCTTTTTATTTAGAGAAGTTGCATAGTCTAACTTTTCAAAAAAATTCACAAACACCCTTCTTACTGATTTGTTTGAGATCCTCCTTTGGCTCTGATTTTTGAAAGGTCAAGCAAGTGAGGAGAGAAACTAATCCTGTTGTATTTGGGAAGGGATTTGGCATGTATTTGTTCCCAGGAACGACACTCAGGTCTGTTTTGACTTTTGCATTAGCAGAAGCAAGACTAACAGAGACTTTAAAGCAGATGTTCTTATGGCTTATTTGCCTTATTTGGCATGAGCCCCAGTACAGTGGTTTAACCGAGGCTGGAGGTCATTTGAAGCAGGATGAGCTCGCAGCAGTCTCTGTTAGAGTCAGACCTAGAAGTAGATTAATTTGTGGTGTCAGTGCTGGTGCCATCCCTTGGGACGTGAGGTTGGAGAGGGGATTGCTGATCCCTCACTCGTCACCTGGAGCTGAAGCACGGCATCAGCACGGCTGTTGGATGCAAGGCTTACTGCCGTGTAGAGGAGCGCAGGTTCCCTTGCGGCAAGGTGGGCTAAAGAAGTTGCCTGAGGCTTTCTGCCAGTTAGAGGCTGATGTCAAGTGTGACTCCTTAATCTTGGGGCAGGAAAGAGAGTTTCCAGGCTTACTAAGCCCTTGCATTATTTATTTTCAGGACCACTGGAAATTGCCCTGGCCCTTAGAGGCCTGTGTTTAGCCAGCCTCTGGTGCTAGTCAGTCTTTCAAGTTGGATAAGGAAATTTCAGTTTGCAATCTGTTGTTTTCTTTCTCCTTCCATTACGTAAGAGGAATTCTGATGATCTGTGCTCTGTTTTAAGAGCAACCAGAGGAAGATCTGGTGAGATGTACAAGCAGGCGGGTGTGCGCTGCAGAGCTGGTGCTCCACACTCCTCCCCATTTTATACCTCGTATTTGCAACTGGACTTGACTGGAGTCAAATCCTTTGCGTGCTGCTATTGAGCTTTGGTACCCAGAGTGAAAACAGCCTTATGGTTATGTGTTGCTCCTGTTTATATGGGGTTTTTAAAGAGCTCTTGAACTATGTTGATCCTAACATTGAAACACCAGTAATTTAATGAATACAATCAACTCAATTAGCTGTGCAAGCTCTTCCAGTGCCATTCAAAGTAAAGCATGTCGGCAGAGGTAGCCTGTAAGCCTGTGAAGATATGGCATTGCCCCAAATGTTTCTTTTGCTGTGCAGTGTCAGTTCTGGATGAAAGTCTGTTCCAGGAGTGTTGAATAAGTGGTTAGAGTGTATACCCTTGCATTAATCGTACAGAACAGGTTCAGATGATAGTTCAGCCAGCACGTTTCTTTGGATTTTTCTCTTTCCATTCCTGAAGTGAACCTCTTTGGAATGTGCTAGGGGGCAGGCCTTGCTTTTCCCTTGGATTGGAGGGAGCTAAATCTGTAGATGGTCCCTCTGACTCAAGCTGAAAATGGTTTTGAACTGACTAAACAACTTCAGCCCTTTGCCAGAGACAAAGATCCCCTGTACTTGCGCAGTTTCGGTTACAATTCTTACACAGTGCACAGTGGAGCAGAAGACTGGAATAAAAAGTGCATTTGTTATCTTTCTAGATCAAAGATTTTCCCTTTTGAAAAAGAAAAAACAAAACAAAAACCACAGAACAGGGAATGATGCACCACGTATGAAATTTAGAACACGAGGAATGCAAAAACAAGGGAAAGAAAAAACACTTCGGAGAGCAGGCTGAAGAAAGCTGAGACCTGGGTTAAATTTGGACAGAAGTAGTTACATGGCGCTGTTGAACATATTTTTAAAGGAGGCTCCCTCGATCATGACATCAAAACCATGCGCTGTTCTTGACTTCTTCCTTTGGAGAATTGAAAGCCACACTTGCTAAGCGTTCAGGAGCAAACACTTGTACGTTGCTTGAAAATTAACTGCGAGAGGGCTTGCTTTTCAACAAGACATACTAAAACTTGTAAACACAGTGGTCTAGCTGGGTCCCACTTTTCGCAGAGTGCAGAAAGAAGCACACGGTGATGTCTTCATGAGTCTTGGGTCTCCAGTGCTGTTTCGTGCCTCTGCAGGTGTCCTGGGCAAAGGAGATCTCATCCTGACTCTCCGTCTCTGATTTCAGAGGGCACAGCAGAGAGCATTCAGGTTGGACAAGTGGGTAAAGATAGTAACACAACCATTCTCTGATTTTCTTTTTTTTTTTCACCCCCTCACAGTGCATCTACTGAAGAGAACCCTGCAGAAATGTGAGAAAAATGGCTGGATGGAGCAGATTTCTGGAAAGGGCTTCAGTGGAACCTTTCAGCTTTGCTTCCCTTATTATCCCAGGTAAAGAGCTTGGCTGTAAAGCGATCTTCAAGATAACTGTCACACAGGTCAGCCAGATAGCAGTGCTGAAGTTCATGGGCCGACCTCCTGTTTACAGGGAACTCTGTGGAGGGTTTAATGGCTGATGAACTGCAACATTGTCTTCTACACTACAGATAGCGACATTACTTGGGTGTCTGACTGAATGAAGATAAAGCTGACTTCATTAGCAAGGGAAGCTTTTAAGGGCCATAAAAATGTTGGGCTCAATACTGTCAGATACTCTGTCGTGATGCTGTTTTTGCACAATGAGGGAGATTTAAGTGTTCCCGTGCTAAGATAAACTCGCATGAGCAGGTAGTATGGTGGTGTGCTTAGTGCAAGGATGCTTCTAATGAATAGGAGCTGGCTGTTTGCCTTTTTAATGCCGCTGTGGAGGAGAGGTGGGAGGAGGGAAGATGACCTAGATTAGCCGCAGTGAGACTAAACCGGCCTCTCTCCTACTGTCAGTGTGTATTGCACTGGGCCGCGTGGAGCCCAGGGGTGGTGGCTTAGTGTCCTGTGAAGAGCCAAGTGGCAGCGTGGTCATTAAAGTCTCCGATTCCCACCTTCTCTTATTGCATACACACAAAGTCCTCGGTGGCTTCAGCCTGCATTCAGAATCACTGAAGCCCGATCTTGTCCCTTTGTCGTCTGCCTTCCTGTGTTTGCAGAGGGGGAGCAATGAGGAAGAGAACCAGAGAAAGGGCAGCTTAGGGCTGGGGCACTCCTGGTGACTTACAAGCTGTGGCGCTTGTGCCGTTGCAGAGGCTAAATAATGTTGGGTTTGGACAGCACACGCAGAAGTCTTGGGGGTGTTTCTGGGTTGGGCTCAAAGCTGTAGCTTCACAGGCGGATGGGCAGCGGTGCCTGACGAGAGCCGGGGTTTCCATGCCACCCCTCGAGTTGTATCCTTGGAAGTAAGTCACGCTCTGACATGAACCCTCTTGTAGCCCAGATGTGCTCTACCCAGAGAAGCAGCAGGATGAGGACTCTGAGGAATCTGATGAGGAAGAGGAGGAAGAATCTGAGGAGGAAGAAGAATCCGAAGAGGAAGAGTCTGAGGAGGAAGAGCCACCACCAAAGAAGAGGTATGGCAGCATGAGACATAAATGAGCTCCTTTGGATGAAAGAAAAGTGACTTACAGCTGTAGAGCATGCAGGTTTGTCTCTTGCTGGGGTTATTTGTCCACAAGGCTGTTGCTCAGGAGGTGTTGAAGAGGAAACTTCTAATTATGCATTGCTCCAGAGATAATGAGCTCCCCCGTTCCATGATTTGCAGCTAACCTCTTTTTCCTCCAGATGTGAAGAGAGCCTTATTTATTCTTTGTATTGCCTTTAGTCTCCTAATGTTGCCTTTTGTGCTTTACAAAAGTGTGGCGTTTCATATGGGGCTTTTTGTATTTATTGAGTGTTTCCTTAGGAAAACTTCTCCCTGCAGTATTGTTTGCAGTCCTGTAGCCAGATGTGAAACCTGCCTTACTCAGAATGTGCATTTAAGATGAGTGGTGTTTGTTGAGTAATAAAATTCCATGTAGAGAGGAGAGAGAGTGCTTAGGTCTCTAATTGTTCTGACAATTGACAGTGATGCATTGTCATTATTTGTGTGTTTGTATGCCTGACGGAGGAGCTCGAAACCTCGCTGGCAGAGCGCTGTGGGGATTGAGAAGTGCTTAGCGTGGCGAGATCCACCAGAAGAGTTCTTGCTCTTTGGGATTTAGCTAATGAAATGTTCTGCTGCATAAAGGAACATCCGTGGTAAAGAACAAGGATGCCAAGATCTGCTTCGTTTATGCAAATTGACGACAGCAGCTCTGCTCTGGGTAGCATTTGCGCCTCCACTGAGATCTTGTGCTGTCTCTCTTTCTGACAGGATGCAGAAGAGACCGCCTCCGAAATCACGGAGCAGGGCCCCTCCGATGAAGCGAAGAGAGTCCAAGCCCAAGCCAAGAAAAACCCCCGCAGCCCGCCGGGGGAAAGCAAAGCCCCCTCCCAAGGTTAAAACCCCTGCTAAGAAAACCAAACCAGCAGCCCCAGCCATCAAGAAACCCTCTGGTGGCAGCTCTTCCAAGAAACCAGCAGCCAGCGGGAGGAAGGAAGTGAAACCCGCTGCCAAGGGCAAATCCGCCATGAGGAAATCTCTCCGGGCAAAAAAGTAAAATTTTTCCACTGTCAGGGAATCCCATGGTCAAATCTACAATCTTGTTTTATAAGTCAACGTGCATTTGTATTTTAGTTCTGATGCTTAAACACTTCTTTATTTTTTATTGTTTGTTTTGTTTTGTTTTGTTTTCCTTGAATGATGGGGGAAAAGCTGAAAACTAAGTCAAACCAACCCGACCGTTTGTGAGATCTCAGTGCTGTGCCTCGTGCCTGCCCCTCCCCTGGAACAAGTCATCTTTAGTTTCTGCAATAATTTTAGGACTTTTCTAAGGCGTATATAACCTGTACATTTTACGGTGTTCCTCTTGGGTTTGGGGGGAGGGTTGGCTTTTAAAAATTCTTCAAAGAAGATCTTTATATCTTTAGACAGCAGGAACAGGATGACTGGGGGAACGTGATTCTTAACGAGAAGGTACAGCGGCAGAAGAGTCCTCCCTAGATCCCCCCCCTGCATGACGAGGTCCTTAACGCTTCTGTGAAGAAGCAGTGTATATACAGCACTTGCACTGAGTCCCGGAGGTGCTGCTTTCTGCTCGGCCGGTAGAGCGACGGGCTGAGGAGGCGGCGCGCTCGGCTCCTGCAGACCAGCAAGGTTTGTTTGACGGTGAGTCAGGTCTTCGGTAAACGGAGGCTGCAGCATCTGCTGATCGTCTGACGCCGGAGGGGCTCCAGGAGGGGTAGTTCTCAGTTAGGCGGGTGGTTTGAATTAGTATTTCCACGCCACATCTGTTACCTTAAAACCAAAATATATAAAAGTCTTCTTGAATCCAACTTTCAAATGTTTTTAAGAGATGAAGAGCCTGAGTTTTGTCACCTCTTGTTTACCCTTTTTTAAAGAAAAGTTGGGGAGCTATACAATTGCTAATGTAGAGATGTTGATAAGTGAAGAACATGCAGTTTGCTAAAATAAAATGAAACTAGATTCCAGGCCCGCTTTGCGTGTCCTTTCTCTTCCTCGCCACAGCTTTCTCCTCCTGGAAATGTAGAGAGGAGGGAGTTGCAGTCACCGTGGATTGCTGCAGACGCAAGTCTTTGTTAGAAGTAAAGTGCCAGCGTGAAAGAGCGGAGCTATTTTAGCCTGCGCCACTGCCAAGCTCTGTAGCTGGACCAACTTGTGACCTTTTTCTTCCTCGTTTTCACTGGAGACAAAGGTGAGCAAGAAGAAAGCTCTGTTTGAACCTCTTGCTGCTCCTCTCCTCCCTCTGCCCCCAATCAGCGGCCAGTGGGGACAAAAAAGACCAGCTGAAATCTTCCCCGCTCTGCCCTGCTCAGCAGAGCAGCGCCTGCGTTCAGAACACAGCCCCGGCTCTCACCTGGACGGGCAATGCCGGCGATTCGAGTGTGACCTGACAGCCTTGTCGCTTAACGTGCGTCTGGAAAGAGCTTTGCACGCACAGCGCTGAGAGGAGTGGAAGTACCTCTAGAAATAAGATGCAAAAAGGAGAAAATAGCTGTGTTGAATGTATTCTTTTCAGTTGCCTTCCCAGTGTGCTACCTCTTAACAACCGGGAGTTTAAAAAATTCTTATAGCAGTGCCCGAAATTGCTCCCAGCCCTGTAACAAGGGTGCAAACAGCAGGTTAACAGAAATGACAGCTGATATGGAGCTGGGAGAGAGTGAAAGCACCGATCAAAGAGTAACCCCTCACCGGGATGTAAAGCAATTAGAGCCATTAACTAATGTTCCTTTCCTAGGGCTACTTGTACCAAAACGGGGGGTTTTGTCAGTGTTTTCCTCCAGGCGGGCGCTACCGTGAGCCAAAATTGAGAACCAGCTTCTCTCCTCGATAGGATATTTATGGGGACGAGGAGTCCTGGCCCAGCTGCGGTGCAGTTTGCGACCTCCCTCTTCCCAGTAATGTTCCCACGCCAACAACCCCCCCAGATATTTGTTAAAACACCGCTCTGGGTACCACCGGGGTTTTTTTGCGCGTGACCACAGCTTAATTTTGCTGTGGGGTGCCTCGAGTTAGAGCGCTGTGCTAAAAGCAGCCATTGGCTCCCTTGCTCGTCACCAAACTTGTGGCTTTAATTGCTAATTAGGCGATTTCTACACACAAAGCCATAAAAAAAAGCCATGGGTCGGGTTGTGTTGTATCTGAAGGATCGATCCTCACCTACCAGGAGCAGCAACTGGGGTTGAACGGGAACATCTCCAGCTTGCGTCGGCATCTCCGGCAGCTGCCCTGCCGCTCGCTCTTCTCCCATCTCGGCTTTCTTGGCAGCACGGGGCCTGTTTTGTATGTTATTTCTTCGGTCCCATCTGTCCTGTTTTTTTCTTCTTTTCCGCCGTTTTTACGTTATTGACTCTTGCGATGGGCTCTGCCAGGGCATCTCAAAAGCAGCTGGCGGTGGCCCAAGGTTTGAACGCTGCCGATTACGCCCTTTTCCTCACACCCTCGGGAGCACCAGGACGTGAGACGGAGATTTTCGGATGCACCCCAAGGGGTTAGACCCCATCTCCTCCCCAGACCGCTGCTTTCCCTTTCTAGGAGCCAAGCACACCGCTGGGGCCGGGGGTAGCTTTTGCTTCGGCCCCGTGGATTTGGGCGGACGGAGGATTTTGGGCACCCGAGGCTCTGCATTTGCACGGCTGCTTTGCAGTGAGGTTGGGGCCATCGCTGCTTTCCCTTTCTAGGAGCCAAGCACACCGCTGGGGCCGGGGGTAGCTTTTGCTTCGGCCCCGTGGATTTGGGCGGACGGAGGATTTTGGGCACCCGAGGCTCTGCATTTGCACGGCTGCTTTGCAGTGAGGTCGGGGCCATCCCTCTTTATTTATTTTTTTTTTTCCCGATAGCCGGGGGCAAAACTCCCTGGGG